CTTTTAGCGACTAGGCTGGTGATATTGTTAAATAGGTGCACAATATGACCACAATGTGTTCCAAAATGGATAAAAGATAAAATTTTTCATTTCATCTTGACATTAATCCACATTTTACCTTACTAGTTTCTTTGGTTTGTTTTTATTTTGGCATTTCAAATCTTCCATTTAATTTTAATTTAACACAACCTCCTGATATGGAGTATAAAAATAAAACTGTATTTTAACCTTAAGGGAACCAAAAGCATTAAAAGTGAATGCCATGGGTTAAACTACAATTTGGCATTAAAGTGCCATTTTTGGTATCATGACTATGCTGCTATAAATACATTTGACTTCACTGTGGTTGGTTTACAGTGGCAGCTGCCCTCCATACACACAGCCTGTCCTCTCCATCCTCCACGGTCTTACCTCACTGCTAATATTAGTCATAGTCTTTATAGCTGTTCCCAGCGTCTGGCTCTCCCACACATTATGTCACTCACTTTTTCTCTCTTTCCATCTGTCCTTGTTCTCTCTACCACTCCCTTTCTTTCTGCCTGTCTCCCTTCTCCTTTTCTCTCTATTGCTTTCCTTTCCCCCATTTCCATCGCTGTAATCCCGGCAACAAGCTCCACCTGCGGGACCGGATGCTGGGAGGGAGGGCAGAACAAAGATGAAAATCGACCACTGAAAACCCATTCCACAATACTGACATGGCAATGTAGTCTGATATTAATTTCCTATGTATTTATTTTATTTAATCGATTATCAAGCATTTATGTACAGTATATATCATAGAAATGTACCTCATAAAGTTGCTTGCAGTTGTTTTTGTTGAATAAAAATAATTTGTTTTTAATGTTTTCTTTCACATTCTGATCCTGAGTGTTTGTGAGTTACACAGGGTGAAAGTGTTAGTGTGTTTTTTTGTGTGTCTGAAAGCTCGAGGTAGCCAGCGCTTCTACAGCTCCAGCTTGTTAAAGGAGAGGCTCAATACATTCCTCTGACATCATGCTCCACCGCAGGCACCCACCCTAATCCTCCCTTCCTCTCTCTCCACACCTCCCACTTACAGTTCCTCACTTCTTCTATGTCACCCATCTCTTCTCTCTCGCTCCTCTCCTTTTCTCTCAGCAGCTGCGGCTCCACATATGACGACAGAGAGCGAGTGATGGAGTTTCACTCCAAAAAGAAGTGAAAATGTATTTTGAAAAGTTTTTCCTATATCCTATGTCCTGAAAAGTAGAGCCAATTATACTGTTAAAATATTTAAAAGTCAAATTTACTTTTAAACCCAGTTTAAAACAGCACAAGTGTATTAAAATGTTTCAGCATTGTTCTAGTGACTCAGTAGGCTACCAACTGGGACCAACATACTAACTTCTATTTATTGTAAGCGCTGTACTTCAAGGATAAGGTTGGTGTTATCCTATGTTAGTCCATCTCTCAACACACGCCTACCCTGTCTGTGGCATTCAGTCCCAAGTCTAACTGAAATCATTAGAGGGACCATTTTGGGTAATATATTCTTTTGGTGTTCCTTCCAAGAGTGAGATGTCAATGTCAATACCCCTCTTGTGTTTGTTTGTTAAGTACAAAGCTAGAGCTGAGATACAGAAGCTTAGCTTAGTATAAACACTGTGAACAGAGAGAAAAAAATACCTTTTTCTTCCACCAGCCAATATCTAATCTCAATATTGTGAAATGACAGTGTTTATATGGACAAAATGTTCTTTGCTCTTATTCTAAAGAAGAAAATATTCCTACTAAACTGTTTACATGGTTAAAGAATTAATATTCTACTTACATGCAGCCATGCACACTCCATATCATGCCAAAATATGGAAAAGTTGGAGCTAACTGTGCTACTTTGCTTCTTTGCATCAAAAATATTTTTTTTTAAAGTTTTACAATGAGTAGTGAATGTATTGGACTTTGAACACAGCCTCCCTATTATTTCTTCAACCACCTTCTTGAAAGCATTGTCATTATATTTGGGCATATTCAAAAACCTGTTGATAGCCAAGTCTTTCATATTGCTTAAAGTTTTTTCTTCCAATCAGAAATGTGGACCTTTCTTTAGGGCATGCATTTCTTTACTAGCCTCGCAAACTGTTGGCTGGTTGGTTTGTGTACAAGGCCTCCATGACAACATTAAGCTAAACAGACAAGAGGCTAGGGCTGGGCGATATGGCCTAAAAAAAAATCTCTGATTTTTTCACAACAAATCCGTTTCACAATTTAAATATATTTTCCCCCTCTACTTAAAATCAATTATCAGAAAAATATTTGCAGCCTGGTAGCACGTACCTGGGCTCCAAAACTTTCAGCATGTGAATAAACCTCGGCTTTTCCACGGTAAATATGGACACCATATCTCTTGCAAGATACATCGCGACTGCATCCGTGATCGCTTTCCACCGGGCCCCTTTCTCATCATATGGCAGTGTTTCCCCTACCATCCCCCCCCTTGAAGATCAAGTTAGTTTTGTTTAATTTTATTTTCTATATAGCTCCAGATCACAACAGAAGTCATTTAAGGTCACCTTTCCTATAGAACAGGTCTATACCCTGTCCTTGTTTACACAACGGCATGTCAGTTCTGTCTCTACACGGTGCACATTTACAATCCTCCTCTGCTCTGTTTCGAGCACGGCGGAGTTCGGCCCTGATGCGCACACACACAGACACATGCGCACACACACATTCATTAAAACAAATTGACCTAAACTACAAATTCGAATTAATCGATAAAATAGTTTTATCGCCCAGCCCTACAAGAGGCCCTGTGTTGCAAACTGCGGTAAAACCCCCACTTGAGAAGAAGCATATTCTGAATGTACTGTATACATGTCCAAATAGTGCTATTCAAACCTGAATAATATCACAATATCCCACATCTTCATTGGAAAATGCATCATTCAGAATAAAGCGTAATTCATAAAATCAAATGGAATATGCTGTTTACATGACCTGTATCAAATTCAGAATATTGTCATATTTTGGAATAATAGGGCAATATTAGTGTGCATGTAAAAGTAGTCAGTATATGGATGTTTAAAAAGAATATCAATGTTGCTGTTTCCTCCTGCCCCCTCCTCCCCTCTGTGAAATCAGGCTGCCTGGGTCAAGTGCTCTTCTTGTGCCACGGGTGGGAGGCAGAGGTGTTATGTAGACTGATGCATGTAATGTGGAAGCGTAAGTGCAAGCTCCATCTGGAAACTTGCGAGTCAGTCACACTGTGGCAAATGCAAATGAAATGGCAGAGCTGCTTGTTCCCTGTCAGCAGTTACAACAACAATGGAAAAAGGGAACATTGTGTAGAGGAAGACAGGGATGGTATATTAGCATTTGGTGCACCATTGTGAGGGATGTGCATGGAAGTACACCAAACATGCCAACCTGACAGCATCACCAGAGGTGCAAATCAATTGGACAAGGAAAAACAAACCAGAGCCACCCTCCTTATCCCCACAGCTTTCAAGCAGCCTTTAGACGGAGCAATTGTAGATTGATCAAATTTACCTGCCACCACCCAGTTCATTTGGCTGCTGGTGGTTGCCAATTTCCATTTCTAGAAAACAGTTAGCCAGGCTTATTCCAAAGTTTAAAATACTGTCCACTATCAACATGTTGTTTCTTGTTTTTTATTATCTACATAAGTAATAACCTGTTGTTGTAAGTCTGACATGAAACATATCGGAGGTTTAAAAAAGAGTGAGCAAAAGACTACCACAAGGTCAGTTTTTATGTCTATACCCAGTATATTCCAGTGTGTGCATGCCTCAGGCTTTCCCTAAACATGCATACAAATCTTGCAGCTGCTGAAGCATTTTTCCCTGCATTAGGACTGCAGGCGGATTATTTCTATTGACTGTTGTACAGTAGAATCAAGTTAGTAGGCTGTAAAACAAAACTCCAGAGTCTTATAAGCAGCTGATTTCCAGACCATTCTTGTTAGTTTGGTTGGATAGAGCAAGATCAAAATTTGATTTTCCCAACCTATTTAAACTGGGTATGACACACAGTGCAGCAGCAGTATTTCAGTAAAAAGCAGGACTTTTACAGCCTGCATGTGTCAGAACACAGCACAAACAACTAAAAATTCCCTTTAGATCACATTAGATTGCAATTTTATTGTGACAAAATACATTTGATGGAGGTATATGACATGTAGGTAAAAAGCCATTGATAGGTTTTAAACAAACTACGCTCAGGGTCACATGATATACCATGCTTACCACAACAAAGCTGTAAAGCCTTGGTCACCATAATGATGTTCTGTAGTCTAATTTAGCCACACCTCCTTTGTCAAAAGGAGAAAGCTTCAGAATTCACAGTGGGTGCTTACTGATGTATTTTATGTCATAGAACACAACCTTAAAGTCTCTTATGCTTGTATTAATCACAGACCTTAATTCAGGACATCTCCCCAAAAATGAGGGGGACAAGGGGACTTGGAGTGCTAAAATGCTGACTCATGTCTGGGTTTTAGGACTCAGTCCTGGAGTGCTCTACATAGGCAGAAGAAGCGGTAGAGTGGTAGAAAATGGTGTGTGTGTGTGTGTGTGTGTGTGTGTGTGTGTGTGTGTGTGTGTGTGTGTGTGAGAGAGAGAGAGAGAGAGAGAGAGATCTGGATGAACTAACCCTGAAAGGAATACATAAAATAGGCAGTGGATTAACAGCACTATTGATTTTCATATCATGCAATGGAAGCAGAGTGTGTGGTTTGAGCTAAGAGATTACATCATAACACAGCTGTCTGTAGGTTTATCTGTGACTTCAGTGACCATATATTTCTACTTAGAGAAATATAACCCGAATAATTTCACACAGCAAATGTATAGCTGCGATTGAAGATCAGTTTGGGGCCACCAATTAATAGCACCAAAGCACAAACATCATCATTTAGAGAATGTGTGCAATATCAGCAACACACATGTTCTGTATATGCAGCAGAAAAACAACTGATGAAACAAGCCTATATATACATATGCATGAGAGTGGAGTGTACTTACGTGGACAGCTCAGTGCTGGTTAAGGTGGCACGCTGCTGTCGTCTGGCTCCAGGCTGATCTATCCAGCAGATGGATAGATAGTCAGGATGGAGGGAGAAAGAGAGAGAAGAGGAAGGAGAGAGAACAAGAGAGAGATCTTACTTTCAGGAAACTGGATAGACAGCACAACACAGTCAGACACTCCATTTTCTCTTCTACCTTCTCATCTTTCTTCCAATTCCTTAACTTGCCAGCCCTGCTTTCCTCCGATTTTGGGACCCACCTCTCATTTTCCAAGGCAGCTATTTCCTGATTATAGAATGGCTGTGTGTGCTGCCATCTTGTGACATAAAATATTACTACAAATGATTTGTTTTTATCAAAGCAACATATATCAGCTCCCAGTATGTGTGTCTTTGCTGGGAGCAGTGTTTGTATTTGAAGACTGAGTAACAGTCGTAAAGATGACACACAGTTTGGCCTGATTTATTTTTATCATTTATTTTATCTCTCTTTTCTCTAACCACAAACTTTCTTAAAGGAGAGAAGCAGACAGTGTTATGGTGCTTGGGCAAGTGCCAGGTTACATATTTTTATTTGGCCATGGTCTCAAGGTTTGGTCCAAATGTGGGTTATGGTGAGACATTGCACATGAAGGCTGTCTGTGGCTCAGGAAGTAAAGCGCATTGCCAGTTGCCACTGTTACCATGTATGTGTTGATTCCACAAAACTTTCAGTCAAGGATGTCCTCCCTCCATTCTATTTTGCAATATTAATTGAACCCCTAACAACAACACTCCAGCAAAATAGCAACGAAGAGATAAAGACATCTTCTACAGGATATAAAATTATTCTTTTTGCAAATGATGTGTTATTACTCTTTCAGGACCCCCACTCAACCATCAAAGAATGCTTTATGATTATAACATTTTTTTCCAGAACTCTCTAGCTATACTGTGTATTGGTCAAAATCCACCATCCTACCACTCTGGATGGATGAAAGGGATGTGGCAACTCTGGCATCACCTTACCACCTCTCCACAGGCAATATCATATATTTAGGCATCAATATATCCCCCAAGCTGACAGAGCTCTTTAATCTAAATTTCACACCATTACTTAAATCAATACGAAATGACCTAAAAATGATGGGCCAACCTACCAATTTTCCTTTCTCGAAGAATAGAAACAATTAAAATGTCAGTCCTACCTAAAAAATCAACTATTGCCCCAATAAATCCCAAAACTCAACCATTTCAAAATACTATTAGTCCATGAGCCAAGACCCCAAAATTGACCCACGACAATAGAATGGGTGGGCAATTTCTAGTTTGCTTTTTTGACTTGCTACACATCTCTAGTTCACAATTTGGCATGATAGCCATTGCAGACTTGTAGCTTAGTGATGGTTATCATGCGTTGAATATAGGGACCCCTGTAGCGGAAATCCAGTAACTGTGTATGGTGCCTGTTTGGTACTATGGTGTTTGTTAACTACTTGTTGACTACTCAGGCTGTCTAAATCAATCCAATACATTCTTAAGATATTTGAGAACTGAAAAATGGTATTATTGGCTACCCAGATAAAAATTTAAAATAAAAATTAAAACATTAACTGGAGCCTTGAAGCTTATCACAAGATCAGAGCATTTCCAAGAAGTGTTCCATGAGCTGGGGCAGTCCTGGGAAGTATCCCCTGACCTGTTCAAAAGGCTGCAAGCATTCTCATGTAAACTGTACTCAGCACCTGTGACGACAGAGGACATCAACACAGCCTGCTACCAACTTTTCTGCGCGTGGCGTGGGGAGCTTGAATCTAGCTAGCTACCACCATGCGAGGACTGCCTTTTTATGCATGCTATGCGTGCCAACGACCAGGCTGGCATCTGGAGAGGTAGTCTCCAGCAACAGCTGCAAGTCCCAAGCCCAGTTGAACATGGCTGGGCCAGAAATGATGATGGTCAGCTTTGGGGATCTCCAGCCCCTGAGGCAGCGGTGCAGCTGCTGTCCTGCAACTGCAGTCGTAGATGCAAGCTTCCGGAATGCCAGTGAATGTACCAACCTGTGCAAGTTGCAAACATGTGACAATCAACCCCAAGAGGATGACCTTGACATGATGATCACAGATTAATGCTGCACGATTTGAGAAAAATGTGCGATTGCGATTTTGGTGGACAATATCACGATTTGCAATTGCGATTGCAATTACAATATAATAAATAGGCCTAAATGGTATCATGAGTCTTCTTGCTTGATTCAGTGTTTCCCCTACCATTATATTAGGGGGGCCCTGGCCTGACCTGACATAGTTATTTCATATGGACAGTGTGTAAATGACCATCAACAGATTGCTTTTACGTACAGTCAAACAGCTGCTCACACAGCAGTGCAGCACGACACTGTACACACACTGAGCAGAGCCTGTGGTGCGTTCAGGCGTTGTCACGTAAATGACAAATTCCAGTACATGAACAGACAATTGCACAACACAGCAGCATGTCAGGTGGGCCGAACCCGAGCAAAACTGTGCTCAGTTTTTCATTTGTTATCATATAGTTTGTTACAGAGTCCGTGATTTCCCCGTGTCTCTTTGAGGTCTTATCATATGGCGTGACACTTACAAATGTTTGCGTAATTGTGCTTTGTTGTTGTTTTATGAGGCTCTGGCGGCTTTCAGTTGTCTCTTTGTCTCTAACATTACTTGGCTTTGCTTTCTCTTGCATGCATTCTTCGTACTTTCCTCTGTGCTGTCTCGAGTGTTGATATAGATTGGTCGTGTTGCCGCAGGACGTGGTGACTTTACCTCGTAAAGTTTTACACAGCACGTCTTTCTGTTCAACGTCGCCATACCTGAACTCAAAGTATCGCCATATAACACACGTCGTTTTTTTTTTTCCGCCACCAACTCAGCCTGTTTTTGGTCGTGCTCATGCTCTTCTACAGCGGCTATGTTGGTCACTGCTGCACGCCTGGTGGTCACGTGACCATATGTGCTGCACACACCAGGATAGCTTGTGGGCATAATGTTGACAAACTCCGCACACTGTAGGAGAGGCAGTCACATTCACTGGCACACACGTTAATATTTATTCACATTAAATCGCAAATCACAGCCTTTTATGCGGTTATGTAATCGCACAGCCTGACATCGCGATTGCAATTGCGATTACGATTGGGATTAGATTAATCGTGCAGCACTATCACAGATGCAGACCTGACTGACTCAGAAACTGACGACTGATCTTGAGTAGGGCCTTGAAATACTTACTAAAGTATATACTTACTAAATACTGTACTAGTGTGCTCCACGTTCTTTGGCATAAGGATCATAGTCTATTTTTTCAAGTTCTTTGTTCAAATGATTGCTTCAAAAGTAAAAAGTGTTGATTTGTTTCATGAGGATGTTATCATTTTCCTTAAATTCAGCAACATCAATCTTGCAGGTGAATCATATGGTTATTATTACCATAGGCATAGGGATCTTAATATAAATAAACCTTTCATGTTTTATGGACATTCCACCTGAAACACCATACACATCCATAAATCTGGTACCTGGTGAAAGGTAAGACTTTTGAGACTTCAAATCTGGGCCCGTATTCACAAAGATTCTCAGAGTCCTCTCAGAGAGCTCCTAACTTAGCCTAAAAATTCCTAGCAAGGAATCTTAGCTTAAGAGTGATTCAGGAAGTTTCTGAGAGCAACTCTGAGCAAGGAGGGGACAGAAACTTTTATCTTAGTGAGGAGGTGTGGTTGACCCCGTTGCTAGGTATGACGCAGTCTTCTAAAAGCTGTGATTGGTTGTTGCAAAAAAGAAAAAGAAAAAATGCGCTCCTAGTAATGAATGGACAGTGAAATGAACCGATCATAGAACGTAGACTGTATTAAGAAATGTGTAATCGTGAAAATAATTTTATGTCATGATGATGAAACTCAGCAAAATTAAATTAATTGTTACCTAGCTTCAAAATGTTTGAACGTACCTCATTCACATGCCGATTATTATAGCCTATTGATTTGCTTTGCTTTATTGTTATGTTTACTCGCCATGCTGGTAATTTTACTACTTAATCTATTTGATATTAATGGTGGACGCAGACTCAGCTGTCAGCAAATACTATGATTGCTGGCCTACTTGTAAAAAGCGGTTTGATTTGGCAGAATGACCAAAACAATGAATGAAATGGAGAAAAAAAAGAACGAGAAAGCCCAACTGGACAGAAGAGCAGTGTCTGCTGTTGGCGCAGCTCGTCCAGGAGAACAAAGGAGTTTTAAGAGGGAAATTCGGTCCGGGATCACGGCACAAGGGAAGAGGTAGAATTGGGAGCGTATTGCCCGACAAATCAATGCGTCGTTCCCTCTCCTTTTACGCACAAGCGATGAGTGTGAGAAGCTCTGGTTCGTGCTGCAATCCAAAGCGGGCGTTATTGCGTTACTATGCTGGGTGGGAAAAGTAAGCTCATCCCTGATGAGGTCAACCACAAACAGTATCCCTGCACTATCAAGCCGGTAGCGTCTTATTAAATCACTGTCGTTCAATATACGGAGAATATCTCTCCTTCCTCTCTGTCTTTCCACCATCTTCTCTGTTTAAGACACTCTTAGGCTTCTTAAAAGTCCTCCTCCCTCCTCTTAACAGTTTTTCACCTTAGGAGCTCTCTTAAGGCCTAAGATGCTTTGTGAATAACTTTTATCTTACCAAGGGAAAATTCTAAGAAAAATCTTAGAATTCGAGGAGTTCTAAGATTTTTCTTAGAATGACGTCACTAAGAGCTACTTTTAGTCTTAGGATTCTTTGTGAATACGGGCCCTGGGCCCGTATTTATCAAGCTTCTTAGAATTACTCCTAAGAGCACTGCTAAGAGTCGACTTATGACTAAAAAAATTATTCACTGAAAGCTGCATTTTATCAAGCGTCCTACTCATACTTTTAGTGAAGTGTAGGACTGAATCTTAAGTGTCGGTCTCAGAGCTGAATCACGACAGTACTATGTGCCATAAACGGAATTTTAGGTGATGTCACTTCCAAGTCCATAGAAATGACCGATCACTGAAGGGAATCCCTTATCTAAGAATATATAAATATCTTAGAAATGTCTCAGTGAATAGTTAAATGGACAATGGGGGTGTATATTTTGACAATAATCTACAAATAATACAAAACATAAAATATGCATTGGCAATGAATCAAAAATAAATGTTTCCTTATCTTTCCAATTCATTAATTAGGCAACTA